GAAAGTTATGACCAACCTAGACAACATACTAAAAAGCAGACATTACTTTGTCAACAAAGGTACGTCTAGTCAAGGCTATGGTTTTTCCAGTGGTCATGTATGGATGTAAGAGTTGGCCTATAAAGAAAGCTGAGCACCGAAGAATTGATGCTTTTGAACTGTGGTGTTGGAGAAGACTCTAGTCCCTTGGACTGCAAGGAGATCCAGCCAGTCCATCCTAAAGGAGATCAGTCCTGGGTGTTCATTGGAAGGACTGATGTTGAAGCTGAAACTCCAATACTTTGGCCATCTGATGCGAAGAGCTGACTCATCTGAAAAGACCCTGATGCTGGGAAAGATTGAGGGCAGGGGGAGAAGGGGACGACAGAGGTTGAGATGGTTGGATGGCATCACCGATTTGATGGAAATAAGTTTGGGTGGACTTCGGGCGTTGGTGATGGACAGGGAGGCCTGGCGTGCTGGGTTCATGGGGTTGCAAAGAGTCGGACACGACTGAGTAACTGAAGACACTGGTTGGCTTATGCTCAAGACAAAAGCAGGCCCGTCATCACACTGAAGGGAGTTAGGCAGTCCAGGTCGGGTGGTAATTTCCATCAGTGGGCCTTTACCACTTCGGAAGCTTTTTCTGTCCCTCTACCTGTCCTCAAAAAGGGTCCACAGATACTAGCAGGTATCTAAAATTTCCTACAGTTTGAGGCATTTGAGTCAAGTTTGCCAGATCTCAGTGGGGCAGGTTCCTCTGTGTTGGGTTCCTGTCTGAGGAGGTCTGATAGCAGTCTTTGGGTTATTTTTAGCACAAATCATGCAATTTTGAGTGATTGCTGGATGGTCCTTTGTAGGTTACACCTCATTATGTATTTTTGATTTTTGAATCCATTGTAAGGAGGCATCTCTCCCATAATGCTTACTATTACACATGCGCTGCAGCATAGTATCCAAGAGGGCCTCAGGAGTCAAAATAATTCCTTGTGCATGACATTTCCAGCCAGATGGAGTATGATCAAGAGTGAACCCCTGCTCTTTGGCCCTCTCCTTGTCCTTTTCTGAATACATTGGTTGGTATTTTGACAAATCAATCTGTGGGAGAAGTGATGCTATCATGGCAATGGATGGAGGGATATTCCCCAGAGTTTGAATGAACACCCTGAGACTTGTGCCTTGTCTCTCATGGACATACAATTTGAAAGGTCTCTTTAAGTCCGGTAGTCCCAAACCCAGGGCTGAGACAAGCTTTGTTTTCATTGTTTCAAAGGCTTTTTGGCACCGTGTAATCCAAGTAGGGGCTCAAAATCCTGTCCCTTTAAAGCCTCAGAGAAGGGTTTTACTAGGAGTCCATAGTTCGGTATCCAAATCTGACAGACCCCTGCCATTCCCAGAAACCTTCTCAGCTGTCTGTGAGTCTTGCCCTGCAATTGCCTGTTTTCTATCAGGCAAAAGACTTCACTGTCCTTGGGAAAGGACAAAACCTAGGTATGTGAATTGTTGCTTACACACTTGGGCCTTTTTCTGGAAAAACTTATATCCACAATTCCAGATAATCCAGGGTTCTTATGGTGTCTTGTAGACAACTTATATGCAGGGCGTGCTATGAGCAAATCGCCCACATATTGGAGTAAGAGTCCTTCATCCAACATGAAGTTTCTAAGGCCCCTAGCTAGCATTTCCGCAAACAAGGCGAGAAAGCGTAAATCCTTAAGGCAGGACTGTCCAACAATACTGTTGGACTACCTGTGTTTCTGGGTCCCGCCCTGAGTCCTGGGTGAAAAGCAAATGGCTGCTGTGATTTTCCTGTAATAGGATTGCAAAATCAAAAAGCATCTTTCAAGCCCCAAACTGAGAAGCAGCTGTATTCTCCTGGAATTGTTGTAAGCAGGGTGTATAGGTTAGGTACTACAAGGTGCAAATCTTGGACTATTTCATTAACAGCCCTCAAGTCCTGGACAAAGCAATACTCTACTCAATTTGGCTTTTTGACCAGGAAGATAGGTATGTTATCCAGGAACCTGGAAGGTTTAATCAGTCCTGTTTTCAAAAACTTTTTGAGAACTGGCTTAATTCCCTTTGGGGCCACTTGTCTCAGAGGGTATAGTTTTAGGTTTGGTATCCCAGAGTCCTTTATACCAGGACTTGTACTGGCCATGGACCTGCATTGGCCATGTGTGTTTTGGTTTTCCGTGGGGTGCCATCAGCCCACAATTTCTTTTATTGTTTCCTTGTTTACTCTTTAGCCTGGTGCAATCTTTTTCCCAATGTTCTTCCTCCTTACGGTAAGTGCACTGTTTCTTCCCTGATGGTGGCTCACCTCTCTTTGGGTTACTGGCCTTCCAGGAATCCAATGTGGCTGCCAAAAAAGTAGCATTCCATCCTGCATTCTCTTGCTTCTGCTGTTGTGCCCTGTTGTTGAACACTTTAAAAGCAACACCTACCAATTAAGAAGGGTTCATTCCAAATGTACCATCTAACTTCTGCAGTTTTCTTCTTATATCTGGGACGCTTTGCCCAACAAATGTCATATTTACCATTCTCTTATTTCTGGGGCCCTCAGGTTCTGCCTCAGTGAGTGTCTATAAGTTTGATAAATTCTTTCTAAAAAGCATGGGTAGATCCTCACTGGATTTTTGGTGTATCTCCTGAATTTTGTTTAAGCTCCTTTGCCTAGGTACCCCCTTTCAAAGACCTGCTAAGGTATACTTCCTACAATGCTCCAGGTGTATCTCCATTATTAGGATCCTAGTCAGGCTCAGCAGTGGGAGCTGCCAGACTTGCTTCTGCAGTTACATCTTGATCTGCTAGATGAGGCTGGCGGGTTTCCTCTCATCCCCAGAAAGCATCATATTCAGGGATGTAAATGTCTGCCCAAGAGGGATGGTGAGTGGCAAAGACAGAAGGGAAAAGTTCAGTCACATGGCGGGGGGCGGGGGGGGCAGTCTCTTGGTAAGTAGGATTATGGTTTTCCCAATTAAATCTGAAGTTGAGTCTGGATTGTGCATCCATAGAAACCCAACTGGTTGGTCATTTGCATTAAGGCCTCGTACAGGATGTCAGCACAAGGGAAACGGCCCTGCTCCAGAAGTGACTCCCTGTAAGGTTTTAGACCAAACCACGGTTGGTCCTGTATCCCAGGGCTTAAGGTAGAAACTTCTAATTGATCCCCATAAGCAGGGGGAACAGGAGGAGGTGAATATGCTGGTGACATGGGCTGTGCTGGTATAGCCTGCTTGGCCAGTAGGAGAGATGGGTTGGCTGGAGCGGGTTTTAAGTTTTGAAATAACATGTTCTCACTCTCATTTTCTCTCTGTCTTATAGAATAGGTTTTCACTTGGTTTTCCTTTTAGACTGCTGTACAATAAGGCAGCCGCCATCTGATGCCTTGTCCTCCTGATTCAAAAGCATAAATGCTTCTATATATGGAATCTTGTCATTTTTACCTGCTCTTTCACAAAACAACTCTAATTGCAAGATCTTATAATAATTAAGTGAGCCATTCAAGGGCCATCGCTCACCTGATCCTAACATAAAATGGGATCACACACTACTACAATAGAGTATCATCTCTTTCTTAGTTACAGGCCCACAGCTATATTTCATACATTTAAGATATGCCCCAAATGAATTTCCTGAGGGACAGAGTATTTCCCATGTTTATAAGTTCAAGAACAACAAAGCAAAAAAGCACAAGCAAATTTCAATACCAAAAGTACAAACGGATTCCATCATGAACGAATGCAAACAAACTAGTTCACAAATCTATGAGTCCAACAACAATTCCCCTCTGCAACAGGGTACCCCAATCACATGCAAAACAAAATCGCTTTTCCCTTAAGGGAAAAACCCAAATTGAGAGTAGGGAATGTTCCCAGTTTTATATAGCAGAGCAACTTACAACTTACTCTATGGAGCTTGTGTCTGCTCAGTTGCTCAGTCATGTCCGACTCTCTGCAACCCTGTGGACTGTAGCCTGCCAGGCTCTTCTGTCCAGGGGATTTTCCAGGCAAGAATACTGCAGTGGGATGCCATTTCCTTTTCCAGGATAGCTTCTAGACCCAGGGATTGAACCCGCGACTCTTAGGTCTAACGGTCATTAGCAGGTGGGTTCTTTACCTCTAGTGCTACCTGAGAAACCCTTTCCCAAATGTGGATTCTTTCCTATAACTGCCAAGCGCAGGGGCAGCTGGTAATACTTCAGGGAATTTTGAAGGCAAGATCCTCAGGAAGAGTGGTTCAGGAAGCGGCTACGGCCTTACCTAAAAATTCCCAATCTGGAGCCAGCTGCCCACAACGAACAAGGTTCCTGGCTGGCACTGCCAAAATTTACCAAGCCCAGGTTTACGCTGTTTGCTGCACAACAGGCCAATAAATCGGGAGATGAGTTGTTCAGGCAAAGAATAATGACTTTAATTGGGAAGCGAGCAGACCAAGAAGATGACAGACTAGTGTCTCAAAAGACCGTCTTCGTCAGTCCTAATTCAGGCTCCATTTATGCAGTGGATGGGGGAGAGAGAGAGGGAGACCTATGGTAACAGCCACATGCCTGTCCTGCCCCTATTACATTAGTATATATCTCTTTAAATTCTGTATATGCAGTACTTTAAGGCAGCATTTTTTTAAAGGTTAAATTTAGGAGAAAACCTGCGAGAAAGAACTCCGTTGCTATGGCAACCCCCACAGCGTAACTTCTTTTCCGTCTTGGCGGGTTCTACTCTCAAACCTCTGGGCCGCAGGCAAGATGTCCAGCCCTCCCCTTCCTGTTTGTCGTAGGTGCCAACGCAGAAAGCAGGGCCCCAGTCAAGGCCCCGCCTCGCCAGTGTGACGGGCAGTCTTTCCGACCCTCAAAATGCCGCCCCCTCCCATCCCCCGTGAGGGCGGCGCCGGGACGTGAATTGCGCCTGTCGAGGCTCCGCCCCTTGCGGCAGAGCGTGTGGCGTCACTTCCGGCCTCTCTTCCCTCCGTTTACGGGCACGATCTGTGAGGGGTTAGCGTGTGCCGACCTCCTCGGAACCATGGTGAGTCTCGCCCTATAGCCCCTGCCCGAGAACCCCCGGTCCCCCGCCGCCCTCTGCTGTCCCCTGCTGTCCGCTGCCCCATCTGTATCCCAGCGCCCGGGATATCACAGCGTCGCTGTGCCTGTACCCCTGGTCCGCCGCACATGGCGCAGGCCGCGGCGTGTGCTCTGCGCCTGGCCTGCGGGTGAGGCCCTCCATGTGAGCCAGGAGGAAGGGTGGGCCTGGAGGCAGATATTTGTTCTGACTCGGTCCCTGGATAGGCCCAGAACCTCGAATCCTAGGACTCACCCTAAGCTAAGAAATTTCTAGTGCACCGGGCGGGTCGGCGAGCCGGGCCCCGCCCTCCCTGTCTGGGCGGAGCCTGGAGCGGCCCGAGGGCGGTGATGGAAGCGAGGCTGCCGCGTTCCCTTCCCCTCCTGGCGGTCCTCGCGCGAGTGGCCTGCCCATCCCTGCCAGCTTTATTTTTAGTTTAAAATCATTTTTGCGGTCTTAGGTCCTGCCATACTTAGAGTCAATGTCTTCGGTGTAGAATTTTTTTCGCGGAGCGCTTAAGATATCCAAAAAAGGAATGTCACCTAAGTCCTCCTTTCACTTTAAATAAATGACTGCCTAATCATGGAGTGCTTCATTTGCTTAAAAAGAAACATTCTTCTTTAAATTCGTGTTCTCTTAGGTATCTACTTCTAAGTCTAGTAAGTCTAAGTCTCCTAAGTCTAGTAAGTATGTATGGTAAAGAATACTGGTATTCAAGCTGATTCTTGGTTTTCAATTTTAGGCGTCCCTTTCCCTTGCACCTGTTAATATCTTCAAGGCTGGAGCTGATGAAGAGAGAGCAGAGACAGCTCGCCTGGTAAGCCTTTTCCTCGTTCTTACAAAGATAGAGTGGTTTTTTGTTTGTTTTACGATTTTAAGACTGAAGTTTATTTTGGTAATCTCTGATTTTTATTCCAGTCGTCTTTTATTGGTGCCATTGCCATTGGAGACTTGGTAAAGAGCACGTTGGGCCCCAAGGGCATGGTAAGAAAAGCAGGGAATTTTAGTATTTTAATGTCGTTTTAGAGCCCTTGGGAATACAAAAACTTGTGGGTGCTTTTTCATATTTAGAACTTAACTGTTAATTATAAAAATTAAGACATGGGTACATTCTCCTTACTGAAAATCAAGACCGTACCCCTAGGACTAAAGTCTCCTCCTGATCATTATCCCCAATGTCACTCCCTTCCCAAGTGATAACCTCTGGTATCCTTTGGATATAAATCTAACGGCTGTCTTTATTTTTATGTGGAAGTACAAGTATCTTATGAATTACAAGATACTAGTTTATATATTCTCCTCATGATGTTGTTTTGTCTCCTCATAAGATACGATTGGTGTGTACTTTTTCTGTAGCTTCAGTTTTTTTCAGTCTAACTAGATATACTCCCTCTGCTCTGTCAAATACTCTTCTGCATCTTGCTTATTTTATTGTTTGCATTTATTATTGTATTGAGAGGTACACTTAGTTTTTCTCTTACAGTATTCAAACAGCCTTGTTCATGTCTCTCTCCTAGTGTCTCTAGGAATAAGGGTAGGACATCAAGGTTTACTTTGGGAGGGGGTATGTACAGTGAAAAAATTTGGAGTCATATACCCCTTCAGAGTATTTACACATTAGCAATCTGAGAGTGCTGATTAATCCAAGCATCATTCCAGATCTACTTCTGTCTTAACCTGAAGCAAATATGTTCCTTTTAGGACAAAATTCTGTTAAGCAGTGGACGAGATGCATCTCTTATGGTAACCAATGATGGTGCAACTATTTTAAAAAACATTGGTGTGGATAACCCAGCTGCTAAAGTTTTAGTTGGTGAGTCTTAGGATGACATTTGTTAACATTTGGAAACCGTTTTTAAATAGACTGTGTTGACTGACTGTCCTTTTGATTAATTGATGTCTACTTTTTAATGGATAATTACCATTATTAAAATACAGACTCCTAGATGTGGTACATAAACATGATGTGGAATATTACTCAGCCATAAAAAAGAATGAAATAATGCCATTTGTAGCAACATGGATGAACCGAGAGCTTATCAAACTAAGTGAAGTAGGTTAGAGAAGGGCAAATACCATATGATATCCCTTATTTGTGGAATATGACAGAAATGAACATACCCATGAAATAAGAACAGACTCAGATACACAGACAGACTTGTGGTTGCCAGGAGGGAAGGGAGAGGTGAAAGAAGGAAGGATTGGGAGTTTAGGATTAGCAGATGCAAACTATATTGTATATAGAATGGATAAACAACAAGGCCCTAACACATAGCCCAAGGAACTGTATGCAGTATCCTGTGATAAGCTGTAACTGAAAATAATATGAAAAAGAATATATGTACAACTGAATCACTTTGTTGTATAATAAAAATTAACAGTTTAAGTCAACTATACTTGAGTAAAATTTTTTAAACAGAGTCTTTTGAGTGTGATGTACTTACTGATGGTGAAACTACTGTGTTTCAGACTAAAAATTTCCAAAGAATTTGTTAGGTGAGGACACCTAGATAAGTAAGATTTAGACTGGTAGTGAATATGTTTGGAAAATTAGATAAGGTACCAAAAAGTATTAATAATTTAAAAAGCAGAATCACATATAGGTGAGTTATTAACTACCTTTTTCCCCCTAGATATGTCAAGAGTTCAAGACGATGAAGTTGGTGATGGCACTACCTCTGTTACTGTTCTCGCAGCAGAATTGCTGAGGGTAAGAATATTTGAGTGACTTCAACCTCATCTCACTGGATATTTTTTCCTACTCTGGTATCAGAGTGTCATAAGTAATCAGAATCTTTCTTACTACAAATTTGCTATTGATGTGTGTTTCCACTGTTTATTAATAGGAAGCAGAATCCTTAATTGCAAAAAAGATTCATCCGCAGACCATTATTGCGGGTTGGAGAGAGGCCACAAAGGCAGCAAGACAGGCTCTGTTGAATTCTGCAGTCGACCACGGGTTGGTATACCACAGTACTACTGCTTTAAACACTGAACATTCTTCCCAAAATACACTCAGCTCAGGAGTTCTAGAGAGCAGTGGAAAGCACACATGATGGACATGGTTCTGTTACCTCATCCTGCCTCAACAGCAACCAGAAAAGCCCACATTACCCACCAGAGGTAGTCACTAAAGTTAAAATTTGGGGTTCTGGCTTTTTGCATATATAATCACAATAAAGTAGTATCATTATATACAGGATTTTTTAGCCTCTTTAACCTAGTTGAATAGCAAGCACGAATTTTAGGTGTCTGTACTTTATTAGCGGTATATGCATTTGATTATGTGACTGCTGTAATTTACTTATCTATAATTGGAGATTATGAGTTTTGACAATTTTTTATTTTACAGTGTTGTGACAAAGTTGTCACTTTAAAAAGTAGTATAATTTCTGGGTCCAGAGATACCTGTGTTTGTTTACCTTACAAGTAGTTCTCTAGAAAAAAATCATTAATTTACAGATCCACTGGCTGTATAACAGTGTTTCTTTTCCCATGTTCTTGAAATTTTTGTTTGCTTGTGTTTCTGTTTTGGTAGTTTGCCAGCTTGGTGGGGAAAATAGTATCCACTTATTTGTATTTCTTGATTACTGATAAGGTTTAATTTTTTTCATGTGACTTAAGAATCCTGACTGGTTTAGGTAACAGTATCTATTGACAAACACTGTTTGGATAAATTTTGGAAAAGTAAAACAAGGTTGATAACTTTGGAGACGCATTTTAAGAACTGGCATGAGTTTTTTTGCTTGGTGTTTTTTTTTTGTTTGTTTCTTAGTTCTGATGAAGTTAAGTTCCGTCAAGACTTAATGAACATTGCAGGAACAACACTTTCCTCAAAGCTTCTTACTCATCATAAAGACCACTTTACTAAGTTAGCTGTGGAAGCTGTTCTCAGACTAAAAGGCTCTGGTAACCTGGAGGCAATTCATGTCATCAAAAAGCTAGGAGGAAGTCTGGCAGATTCCTATTTAGATGAAGGTAGGTATATATTGTATATGGGGAAAAATGTGTTGACCAGATGTTGAAACCTAAATAACTGAGTGAATTCTAATTTATTTAGTCAGGACTAGTGGCACTTTACAAAGCGAGAAAACTTGGCATTAAGGGAACAAATCATACTGCAATGATTTCTGTCATCTTAATCCACTTGTTATATTGACAGTGTACTTGACCTACTCATACTATCCCAGCATTTCTTTGATAACCTCTAGGTTTTAGTTTATACCATAAAGTAAGTTATAGTTTCTAATAAAGAGACTTAGTTTTCTTCTACTTAAAGTCAGCTATTGTCAACTGGTATTTTTTCTAGGATTGCAAGTGTTCTCCAGGAAGGGTCTGGGTAGGTCATGTTAATTGGTTGACAGATGGTGAAGGAACAGTTTCTGGCGTTCTTGAGGAGTGATAAATGTCTTGGTATTTTTAGGCTCTGTCCTTAGTAATAGTATGTGTTTTTCTTAAGGTATGTTCATAGTACATTGACTTCACAGAGGGACCTGTAGAAAGTGTAGGCATTCTTTAGAGAAGGGGAAAAAAAGGAATAGATTACACTTCATAGTTTCTGCTTTACTAGTGAGTAATTTGGAGTCTGGGTTTTGTTGCAAAAATCCTTGTCTCTCACAGGTGTAACAATTTTGAAAATACTCTTGGTTGAATTTATAGGCAAGGGATGTATAGCGTTTCTAATTGGATTTGGTGGTAGAGAAAGATAATTAAGGCAAAGATAGTGACCATTGAATGTCTGCTCTGTGCCAGGCATTCTAATAGGAATTGCACTCAAGCCTCACTTCTTTATCATGATGCTGATCCTTTGAGTGAGAATTAAGTTCAGCTGAATAGAGCAGCAAACCCAAGGTGTGATAAATGAGTTACAAGGTAAAAGATGTATCTAAAGGAAGCCTGGAAAGATACACAGTACTCAATTCGTAAGATTGTTTCAGAGCCCTTGGCTAGTAATGGCATCTTTGCCGCTGTTGGTACTCCTGTTTAGAACTTTGGTCCAAGTTTGTATACGTAGCCCATAAGCAGCATGAGCACGAGGGGGACAGGTTTGCCTGACCGCTGTCCATGGTGTTTCATGTTATCACAGCCTCAGTTTTTTAAGAAGTACAGTAGCCTCTAGCAATACCCTGTGTGTCTGAATCTTAAAAGCTTGTTTTGTTTTGGTTTTAAGCTAATGAAAGTGGATTAATAACTTTGCATTGCAACTCACACACCTGCAAATGTAGTATGTATCTGAGATAAAAGATTCAAAAATAACTTTTTTTTATTAGCTCATTTTTATTGAAGTATATAAGTTGTTGTACAAAAAAATGGTCTGTTTACTTCTCATATTTCTACTGTGCCTCATATTTTCTTTTTTTGCACGTTATTTTTTAAATCCGCTAAATTAATTTTTATGGTCACTGGTGTGGAATGCAGTTTAGGTTCTAGGAGCTTGCTGAATTGGACTAGAAATGCATTCTTTGAAAGAGTAATTTGATAAAGCATATCACTTTAAAAGATTCATTAATACAGCTTTGAAGTATTTAATAAAATTCTGTTTTAACAGGCTTTCTGTTGGATAAAAAAATTGGTGTAAATCAACCAAAACGAATTGAAAATGCTAAAATTCTTATTGCAAATACTGGTATGGATACAGACAAAATTAAGGTACATTAACTACATTTCCTGGATTTCTGATTGTTAGCAGCTATAAACTTTGGTTGGGAATCAGTTGCACTTGATATATATATATATGTGAATATACATGAATATTGTACGCATGCATTCACAATGCACACAGTTTTGTTGTATTTACATTTAAAAGTTTTAAGTATGCTGTGAAACTTAAGGAAAGTGATGCTATTTTTTATGCTTACCTTTGTTTTAGATATTTGGCTCCAGGGTGAGAGTTGATTCTACAGCAAAGGTTGCTGAAATAGAACATGCAGAAAAGGAAAAAATGAAGGAGAAAGTTGAACGTATTCTTAAACATGGGATAAATTGCTTTATTAACAGGTCTGTGTGTATTTGTGCTAAAAATATAATGATCCAAGAAAGGGCCCTGTTTTTCTGGAACGATTTAGGAAAATTCTTATAGAATTTAGTTGTTTGTTATTTAGGAAGTGGTTTTTTCCCCCATATATAAATAAGATTTTATATCAAGGCATTTGCCTTACTAAATCATTTAATATACTTCATGAAACCTTTTCTTTCTTTGATTGCTGGTGAGGTAAAAATGTTTTCATGTTTTTCTTTGTCTAATGTATTTTATCCTGTGAAGTAACAATTTTTAACAATGTTTTTTCATATTCTAATTTATAGGCAACTAATTTATAATTATCCTGAACAACTGTTTGGTGCTGCTGGTGTTATGGCTATTGAGCATGCAGATTTTGCAGGCGTGGAACGCCTCGCTCTTGTCACGGGTATGAAAAAAAGACATTTAACTTGTAACATAATCACTCTTGAATTTATTAGAATTAGTGTATGTAACTCATTTCTAAAAGTATGAAGAAAGTACTTTGTACCTGAAAAGGGTACCTTAAGGTGCCTAGAATCTAAACAGTTATTCTGAATCTTTGATATTTTTAGTTACATTAATTTTTAACATATCAAATGCCAGCTTCACTGTAGGTTTAGATTTATTTTTGCTGTGTTGTTTTAAAGGTACTATATATTTTTCTCACAAACCCGCAGGACCACTGCTCTAAACATAGTCTAAATAAACTGAAGCTTACAGAAAGGAGTCTTAAGTTTTACTTAGTCTGTTCATTGAATTCTAGCGCTGAGTGAGCAGCGTCCACTCTGTGCCTGGCGTGGCGCCCTCTCTTCACTCTGTCTGCCCGGCGACTAGTGCTCTATTGAACGCTTAACTGTGTGCCAGGCAGTGGGTCAGATTCTTGTTTTTTGTTAATTTTTTAAAATTTATGAAAGTAATGTTGAATAAGTGTGAAACAGTCCAGGAGTGTATGATGAAAAGTTACTTTACTCCAGTATTGTTCAGTACAGGTATGGGTTTTATAGTCTCAGTGTAGGCTAAAAAGTGCATTTACAGATATGTCGACATCAAAATGACTTACAGTGCAGTTATTCACTTTTTTAATAGTGGTAACTGCTAAGTAGCCTTTGAAAACTAAGTATAACAGCATTTATCCTGTTTCAAGAGCTTGACAATGAATAGGTTGGAAAGCTGGTTTGTGATCTGGCAGTGAGAATTCCAAGGATGGGGTTTACATGTAAAGCCACTAGGGACACCACATTCAGTTTGGAACTGCTGTTTGTATTAGACGAAATTATACTAAGTAGATGGTAGGATTGGATTTATTTCAAAATAACTTCTTAAGCCATTTTCAATAATTTGAGAATAGTCTCTAAAAAGCGACGTTTTACTTGGAGGTGGGTTTACCTGCCTAGAAGTTACTGCATATTTGATACTTAAGTGATAAATCTTATGATGCTCATATTTATTTACTTTCTTAATGCAACAAAATTAAAGATACAAGAAATGTGACTGATAGCACATTGATGGTATAAGTTATCACAAGGACTTGATAATGTGAACTTGCCACATACATTCAGAAGATTTACCTTCAAACACACCAGCTGTGTGGCTGTGAAGTAGACTCTATGGTGGCTCTCATCCTTAGTAAACTCATCTGTTGTCAAGATGTGTGAAATTGGGTCTTGCAAATGGTCTTTAAATATTTTGTAAGCAGGTGTACATGAGTGAGTGAGTGTAGGGTCAGTGAAAATTCTCATATGACAAATTGGTCTCACTTGGGGCATATGATGTCCCAAACCTCTCTTGTGTCTCACGTCTAGAACCCAGAGCTGTCTCTGGAATTTGCCAACAAAAAATAAGAGCTTCAGCTGTACAAATGAGTATAAGTTAGTAGAGTTGGGAAGACCAGAGTCCTTTTTATAAAGTTAATTATACAATAGAAACAAAGCGTGAATTATTTAGCAGATTTATCCGTAAGGCATAGGGAAAGGGGTTGGGTTGATGATTGAGGGTATCTATTAAGAGAGAGAGTGAAGAGAGAAAAGGGTTTTTTTTTTTTTTTATTTTATTGGCTGCCTCATGCAACAAGTGGAATCTTAGTTCCCAGACCATGAATCGAACCCGTGCACCCTTAAGTGGAAGCACAGAGTCTTCATCAGTGGATCACCAGGGAAGTCTGAGAAAAGGATTTTAAAATGGAAACCTAACTTTTGCTTAATTAAGAACCAGGAAAGGAAATGTTCATAGCATGGAAGATGGAGGGAAAATAGGAATAAAAGGAAGACCTAAGGAAGAAAATGAATTTGCTTTTTTTGCCTTCTCATTAACTTTGTTCTGGGAAATCCTTAGTATACATTTCCCCCCTCTCTAGGCCTTATATTACAGGAGCTTTCTGACACTTCAGCTATTGTAATAATTCACAGATACCAAGTGCTCACTATTTGAAGCAGTTCCTAATGTCAGTGTACCTGTTGATACAATAAGATTAGCCAGATATTTTCATATTTGGTGATACTGGATCATAGGGTACCTGTCTTTTATACTGAATTCAGAAGAAAGTCTGAATTTGTTGATAAATTTAGGCTTAAAGTAAATGTCAGAGTCTCAGTTAAGGTGGAATTATATAGCGTGCATAGAGGTCTGAAGCCAGACTGCTTGTATTTGAATTTCAGTTTTGTATTTGTTTGAAATAGGTAACCTTAGATGAAAACAAAACATTTCCTTGCCTCAGTTTTACCATTTCTAAATGAGAGATAAATAAAGCCTGTCATCTTAAGGTTGTTGTGAAGATTAAATAATTGGTTCGTATAAAGTGCTTCAGAATGCTTGGCATACAATAAGCAGTCAGCTTAATATGTTTTCTTTTCATTTCTGCTTGTGAGAAAGCAGAAATTTCAAACCTATTGTGCATTTAATTAATGAATATTTTTGTTCATAGGTGGTGAAATTGCCTCTACCTTTGACCATCCAGAGCTAGTGAAGCTTGGAAGTTGCAAACTTATTGAGGAAGTCATGATTGGAGAAGACAAACTCATTCACTTTTCTGGGGTAGCCCTTGGTGAGTTGTTATGTATAGATTCTGGTTTAGGTTCCTAAACATTTTGTAGGCTCTGTTGAAGTGAAAGAAACAGTTACTATAGTTACTAGAATATATGTCTTAATTCTTGAAAAACATGGTGTATGCTAATTTCAGTCTCTTGAGGGTAGCCTGTTAACCTTGCCTTTGTGAGCAATGTATATTCAACATAATTGTTTTAGATAATTTAGAACTTCTAGGAATATGGATTGTTAGCAAAGAGAATGTGCAGCAATAAAATGACATATCCCCTTTCAAAACCAGATAATGCAACCTAAATAATAGAAGGCAAATTTTTATGTTGTACAACTTGAGTTCATTGTGACTTGAAAACATTATTTTTAATTTTAGGTGAGGCTTGCACCATTGTTCTGCGTGGTGCCACTCAACAAATTTTAGATGAAGCAGAAAGATCTTTGCATGATGCTCTTTGTGTTCTTGCCCAAACTGTGAAAGATTCTAGAACAGTTTATGGAGGAGGTAAGCATTTGAAAAATATTGAACATGTTCTATTTATTGAAGTGTAGTAGTGGCTTTTGACTTTTAATGCTTCTTAGTTTGTATTGCCTTTGCACTTAATTTTTTATAGATCTTAAAGGAAGTCTTATTTAGTGTCTTGGAAGGCAACTGAGCATAACGATTTATGTTTTTGGAATTTTAATCTGTAGGCTGTTCTGAGATGCTGATGGCTCATGCCGTGACACAGCTTGCCAGTAGAACACCAGGCAAAGAAGCTGTTGCAATGGAGTCTTATGCTAAAGCCCTGAGAATGGTAAGTTAATGAAAAAAGGGAGCCCTGAATTTAAATTTTATAGGTATTGATGGTTTTTAAATGAATACATTCTTTTATCTTGGACAGACAATGTCTCCTTTCTTGGCTTTAAGAAAAGAATTGGTTCACACTGCTTAAGTTTGATTTTGGAGTTTATAAATCTCTTTATGAGCAGAAATTAAGAGGAAACAGATTTTACATTATTTCTAAATGTACAGTTTTAGAAAGCTTCTCTTCTCTTTGGTAAGTGAACTTCCTGTGGGTAGAGTAGATAGTTACCATGTCCCCTTCACTTTGTAGTTGCCAACTATCATAGCTGACAACGCAGGCTATGACAGCGCGGACCTGGTGGCTCAGCTCCGAGCTGCCCACAGCGAGGGCAAGACAACTGCTGGACTGGGTGAGAAGTTAATTGGAATCTTGCGGGAGTTCTTAAGAGTAGCTCTTTACCAAATTCTTTTTGTAATGTGAATTTTCATAACAACCATGTAAAAGATCCCTGGGACCCTTGCCTTCATAACCATTATGTGGTTGTTTAGTTGCTGTGCTCTGTCTGACTCTTTGTGACCCCGTGGACTGTAGCTCATCGGGTTCCTCTGTGCATGGGATTGCCTAGGCAAGACGAGTGGGTTGCCATTCTCTTCTCCAGGGGATCTTCCAACCCAGGGATCAAACCCTTATCTCCTGCATTGGCAGGCGAATTCTTTACTACCGAGCCACCAGGGGGAAAACTGGCCTAAAAAAGACTTGATTCACATTGAAAATTTTCCCAATAAAATGGTCTGGGACATAAAAGGGATATTTTTAGGGGTAGATAATCCTGTCCCTGGACGAAAGAGAGTTAGTGAATAATGATCTTATAGAAGATGAAGGGGGGGTCTAATAAAAGTAGATGACTTAAATTCTTCAGTTCTTTAGAATCCATGGTATATTCAGTGATGAACAAATTTTCTTCAGTTTCATAGGTAAAGATAGGTGATGTTGTGTTGCATTATAAATTTTCTTATTATTTGACATAGTTACCCTTCATTAATACAGATGATCAGTAGTTGATCTTTTTATTTTCTAAAAGGTTTTCCTTGAGTGATAGTCTGACGAGAATGCCCTAATTGAATAGTTGGCTTTGTAATTTTCTTTTTTTTTTTTTACAAGTCAGGTTTAATTTTATTAATGTGTTCTGTTATTAGACATGTTTTGATACTTTAGTTAAGACTAGTTGTTTATCTAGTGAATATTTCTCAGATATGAAGGAAGGTACCATTGGAGATATGTCGATACTGGGTATAACAGAAAGTTTCCAAGTGAAGCGGCAAGTTCTTTTAAGTGCAGCTGAAGCAGCAGAGGTGATTCTACGTGTGGACAACATCATCAAGGCAGCACCAAGGTATTGTAACACTTTAAAAAACATCTCTTAGGAAAAATTAACATGGAAACAACAGCTATATTTTTGTTAATTGTAGTTGATGGGAAGTGGAGCCATTTTGTCTAGATAGCAGTATTTTGCAAGTTACTTAAAATACGTGATCACAACTCTTAAATTTAAGCCAGAAAAGATTAGTGGGGAGAAGGGTATCGGTAATACTGGGTAGCCCTCAAGATTGAAAGGGCACAAAAGAGCAGGCTTGGGAACGTCTACAACCAGAGAGTTTATGGGTAGGGAGGTAGTAGTAAGAAATGTCTTTTTACCAGGATGAGTTGGCTCCAGTCATTTTCTGTCTGGGTACACTTTTCTATATATGTATATTCTTTAGCACATAATGTGCAGAGTTCCTTACATGTTCCTATTCTAGTTCAGTCGCTCAGTTGTGTCTGACTGTTTGTGACCCCATGGACTGAAGCATGCCAGGCTTTCTTGTCCATCACCAACTCCTGAAGCTTGCTCAAACTCATGTCCATCGAGTTGGTGATGCCGTCCAACCATCTTTTCTTCTGTCGTCCCCTGCTCCTGGCTTCAGTCTTCGCCAGCATCTTTTTCGATAAGTCAGTTCTTCACGTCAGGTGGCCAAAGTATTGGAGTTTTCAGCTTTGGCATTAGTCCTTCCAATGAGTATTCAGGACTGATTTCCTTTAGGATTGACCAGTTTGATCTCCTTGCAGTCCAAGGGACTCTCAAGAGTCTCCTCCAATACCACAGTTCAGAAGCATCAATTCTTCCACACCCAGATTTCTTTGAAGTCCAGCTCTCTCATCCATACATGACTGCTGGAAAGCTTTGACTAGATGGACCTTTGTCGGCAAAGTAATGTCTCTGTTTTTTAAGATGCTGTCTAGGTTGGTCATAGCTTTTCTTTCAAGGAGCAAGCGTCTTTTAATTTCATGGCTTCAGTCACCACCTGCAGTGATTTTGGAGCCCAAGAAAATAAAAGTCCATCACTGTTTCCATTGTTTCCCCATCCTATTCCAGTACCTTTTTTTTGGTTGTTACTTGTGAGATTGTAGTTCTCCAGTCGGATTGAACCCAAGCCACCTGCAGTGGAAATGCAGAGTCTTAACCACTGGACTGCCAGGGAAGTCCCTCCAGCACCTTTTCTCAGATGAAACTCATTCACACAAAAATGATTAGATGGCCAGAAAAATCTTAGCATTTGAAGATTCAGTTAATAATTTTAATTAATTAATTGCTAGTAGCTAATTAGTTACCAAAACCACTAATTTTTCTTATTAGTGGGTAGTTCAGGGAGATGGGAGGGAATGGTGACTTGGACCAGTAGATAGAGGTGAAGGTGGTAAGGAGGGATTGATAATAAATCTATTTTAGATGGTAGAGTCAGCAGGATTTGATGATGGGTTAGATACAAGGTCTGTGAGAAAAGGGAATTGATAATCCAAAGGTGAGCTTTTTGAGAGGGCAGTCTTAAAGATTTTTATTCAAAACTCCCTAATAATTGCCACATTTCTCCAATACATTAAGCATATTCCCACTTCATGGGTAGAGAAGAGGGGGGAGATTCTAAATTTTGTCAGCAATATCTCAGTTATGTTTTAACATGACAATATTCAACAATTTTAGTTAAGAAATAAAACATGGAAATTCCCAGCAACTAAAATAATAGTAACAAAACAATACTGGGCCACGTCATTCAAGGTTTTTGTTGTGGAAAATAGAAGTTTCTCTTAACTGAGGTGGAGGAAGACTTTGGGAGGAAAGATGGGGCTTGTCAGCTTCGGACATTTGAGATAACCTTTGAGAAAGCAATTAGTTGGATCATTGAGTCTGTAGTTTAGGGAAGAAATTCAACTGTAATTAAAGTTTCAGGAGTTGTCAGCCTGTATGTGGTGATATAGAAGGTCACACTACTAATTGAGTTCCCAAGAGAGTGAATGTAGCTAGAGAAGGGAAAGAGTTGGTTTTTTTTTTTTAAAGGACTTGAGTGCTTGAGAATTCCAGTAATAGGTTTGAAAAGATTTAGAACAGCCGTCAGGGGTCAGTCAGTAACAAGGATTTTATTAAACTGGATAGTGGATACATGAGGATTCATTGTACAGTCTCTAATTTTATATACTTTTGAAGTTTCCTATAATTCAAAAGTCTAAGGTTGAGTTGGGGGAGTGCCCCTGAGGTAGGAGGAATGTGTGTAGCAGCCAAGTAATGTATTTGGCGGGGAGGAGCAATCTGCTCCCAGGATGATGCAAGTAAGTCAAGTAAGGACTGAAAATTGATCTTAAAGATTGGATTTAGCAAGAGAGCTTGTTGGTATTCTTAATGGTCAGTTTCAGTGGAATGGGGAGGGCAAAAGCTTGAAGTAAATTCGATAGAGTATGGGGAAAGAGGAATTGGAGGAATTGTATGTAGGCTGCTTTTTCAAGGAGTGTTACTGTGAATGAGAGCAGAGAAGTGAGATAGTAGCTAGAAGAGGTGTGGTCATTTCTGTGAAAATGGACTGTGTTCATTTGGGAGCAGTTTCATGGAGGGAAGTGATGGATGAGCAGAAGAAGGGCGCAGTCCGCCAGCGGCTGCTATTGGACCTAGGGAGCAAGAGGAAGACAGGAAGGAAGGAGTGTTACTAGGAAATTAATGTCCTAAGTGGACGAAGTTCTTCATGCAGAACCCTGCAGCACTCCTTTCATTGGTTTTCTCCTATGAACAGCAGCTGTCCTCTTACTGTTAAGAGGAAGGAAAGAGTGTAAAATAGTGATTTGAATGTGGACAGAAAAGCTAAAATGATACTCAGATCTCCCACTGTGGGGAGTGGAAAGGACTGGGCTACAAAATCTATATTCTCTCTACTTCTAGTATTGGAATAAGGTAATGAGGAGCACTCATATTTTGAAATGGAAAGTTAATGAGGGAAGGAAAAGTTAAAATTTTCTTGGAAGCAGTGCCAACAAAGATGGCTAAATACAGCTCCATTTTCTGTTGTCTTCAGGTAGAATGATAGCAAAGGGAAACAGTTCTATAGGTAAAATTTTCTGACTTGGGGGCATGGTCACATTGCTGCCTCAGAAGTTTTTGTAATAACTTGGCTCCCTCAACCACATTTGAAATACAAACTGTGGTACCTTGTTTGAGCTGGTTATCACTGTTTTTGAAGTTTTAAGTGTCTTAAAAGTATTAGTCTGAGTAATTTGCAGTAAAGAAATACGAATTTTTTTAAACTCGGTTGTGCTTCACAAACATACTGGACTGTGGACTTGTGGACTTAATGCTCATTATTAATCTCCAGGGGATTAATTTTTCTAGTCAGGGTTTTGTGACAGCTGCTTGACAACTTTTTCTTTGCTGACATCCTTTGGTCATACTCCCATAAGCTACTGAGGTTGGAAGGTTTATCTCTATATGATCCTAGTATGGTTTAGTCTGGATCTGTTCTTATGCTTTTTCTGCTTCTCTTAATTGTGCTCGCCTCATGAAGCAGTGTTTCCACAGTCATGAAGTAAAAAAATTGCACTAGTACCCCTACCACGCCCCCTTCCTGATTCACTGTATGGTTACCAGAGAATAAAAATTTCACATTAAAGATGTGGGAGGTACTGTTGACATACTTGAGTGAATTACCCAACTCCATCACCAACTTTTTGTTTTCATTCATTTAGAATAGTGACCCAGAAGTTTTAATTTAGAAGCCCCAAAGACTTGTCATTTTACAACTTCTGACTGAGAGAACCATCTTTGACTCATTTTGTAAAATTAACTAGCATAGGTTAAAAACATGAACTAGCCATTTTCTAGAGAGTATATATTTGGTAAGTAGGTGTTTGGATGAGAAGCTGAGAACTGCTGAGTACCTACCTGCAACCTGCACACTGCAGATTTTTCCTGTTTTCTTAACAATATAATAATTAAGGGATGTTAATTGTGAGATAGAAACATCCTTTTTACACATTTAAAATTGGTTTTAATAAAAGTAGTATTTTAGCTGTGTTTGTATTTAATATAGACCTTCAGTTACAGTCATGCTTTTCATTTTCACTGTTGCCCTATTTTAATTCTTACAGGAAGCGTGTCCCTGATCACCATCCCTGTTGAGCATTCCCGTATGCTGTTGAGCTCTGGACCAGTTCATAGTAAAGTTGTGTTTGAAAGACTTTGACTTCCTGAAAGAAGAATATAGAATTGAAGCTTATCTGTGGCTGTTATGTCCTTAAATTTGGACATTTAACTGACCTTCTATTTTAACATGGGTCTAATTTATTTGCTGTTTCATTTTCTATAAAATTCAGTTGATTTAAGAGTTCATTCCTCATACTGTGCATCAAAATAAAAGTTTGAACAATTACTTAGTTCTTAACTGACTTAGTGATTTGTACCTGGTTTACTCTAAATGGGAGTGAATGATTATACTTGGAGTGTAGAGTTGTTCCAGCTTAACTAATGATTGATATTACACATTTATGAAAAAATTATCTTGATTAATGTAAGGCCAAGTGAGACGTTACAAACTTTGTATCATTTGATTCTTAATCATACGTGACATTTGTTAACCATTTTGTTTTGTGAAAGAACCATATAGTACTCTCAATTTTGTGTAGTCTACATATTCTCTCAAACACAGGAAAAAATATATGGTGGTTTCTGTTACTTCAAGTGTGAAAGAGTTACATTTTAAATGTTGGCTGCTGCAAGCTTCTTCATATTACATCTGGTAATTTTATAAGGCGTGGATATAGTTAGGTGTCAGTGTTGATGGTTTTGCTAGGGTTTCTTGTGTTTGTTTTTGGTAAATGCATTCTAGATAGACTGTAAGTATGTGCTGAATTTGATGGTTTAAAGGTGAATTTAGATTTGGAGGTTAATTCAGCAAAGTGTGCAAGAAATGAAACAAGAGCCCAGGAGTAGTCTTACATTGGGTACCTTTTCTAGAATCCTGGAGAGATGTTTTACTCACATAGAGGATCAAAAGGGTTTTCAGAGAAATACTGATAAACCAACCTGTTTTGTTCTTGTCCAAAAATTTGTCTCAGGATTTTAACACTACTTTGTAGAAGCTATTAAAACTGGAAAATTTTGGTTTTTATTGTGATACTAGCATATATCCTCCAAAATTCACATGAAGGAGACACTTACCATCAAAGAGATTTATACAGGTTTTAACTTTTTTCACTTTTAGAAACATTAATAGTACATTTGCTGTGTCATTTTTAAAATACTTTGTCACACATCACTTTGTCACACATCATTTTTCATCCCACAACTCAGATAGGTGGAGCAGTTGAGCATATCATGGCCTGGAAAACATGCAGAGGTTTCCATGGGAGAGGTAGGTGGATAAACATTTATCCTGAGGGACCAGGTAGCCTGGAGTAGGATTTTAATCTACGCTGTATTTGGGCTCATTTTTTCCAAAGGTCCTAAAACAACAGTGAGTGTTAAGAGGTAGAAATCTAGGAGCTTAATTGTATATTCAAGAATACACCCATGTTTCTTTCCCTCTTTGAATTCATTCCTTTGAAGACCTTATAGATTTTTTCATCATTGGCCTAGAATATCCCAAGTTCACGAATTACAAAGTTTTTAAGTTTCAGAGGTAAAGTACCAACGTAGGCCCCTCTAATTCCTGTAAGAGTTTTAGGATGGAGTTTCTTTTAACTCAGAAGCAGTTATGGAAACAGTGAATTTTTCAGTTTTCACAAGACTTCTGTGACATGGAGATTTTTGGAATGTATGTTAATACTTAACTGTATAGAAATTAAGTGCTTAGGATTTTAAAGTCCATTTTAGTAGCCTTGTGTTTTTCTTTGAAGAAGAATAATACGTGTGCTGGGTATTTTACTCGTAAGTCAGAATCGATTCTTTGCCTGCTTGAAGGCCACAGGGCTTACCCTTGCTGACTGCCTAACAACTCCCTGTAGTCTGGTTTTATATAGCTTAATTCAGGAGGCTCTGGTGGGAAAGGGGAATCAGTATTTTCTTCCTGTTTTTGCTCTTTTTCCCTGGAATTGGTTGCAACCCTAGAGACCTGCCACTATAGCTTAGTGGGCAGCCCCTCTTTTCCTGGCTCTCAGCTCTTCCTGCATTTTGGTAACATTTCTGTTCCTGTTCATTGGGCCATATGGGTGGGGACAGCTGCTGCTGTTACTTAATGCTAAATACAGTTACTCGTGTTAACCCTCACATATGCATTTTCTTGTCAGGACTCTGAGGCGCAAAAGTGAATAGAATACTTTGTATAAAATCTTTTACTGAAGTCTGCTTTGTTTTGTGCCAACTCTTGTGTTTCAGAACATCATTAAAACAAATGTAAAGAGCACTTTAGCTTTTAATCATAGTACTATTATAGAACTTTTTTGATTCTCAATATGAATAAAGATGTCACATTTTAAAATTGTGAGTAGTACATAACACCTTTCAAAGAGGCATTGACAAAACTATGTGAATTAACTTACACAAGACCCTGAGGATGTGCTTGGCCTACAGCCGTGCTTTGTAAGTGTCAGTGTGTTTCCCTGTGCCTTGGCCTAGGTGCATGGTAAAATCGCCAAAATTTAGTGACAGAACTACCAAGAACTGGGGGTTCAAAGATTTATCACCTGCTTCGTGTTCTCAGAAGTGGGCAGACCAGAAGGGAGGGGAAAGCATATGAACGTTAAAATAATATTCTTTCTAAGGTAGTGAGATTACAAGGGGTGTGTGTGTATGTGTGTATTTTTTTACAGTGACAAAAGACAGTAAATTGTCTAGCAGACACACACCCATGTCTTCAGTCTCATGTCTTTTGCTCTCATGATAGGAATGGCATTAGTGCCAAGGGAAAGTCTCACATTTTCATGTATTTTAATGATTTTGCAAATTCTAGAATAACAAGGCAGGGATATTCATTTAGAATCTTAAAAAATGAATCCTTGGTAATTATACCTGTGTTTTCCTATGTAGGTAAAGCAGAAGTGTTTGATCACATTGCAGTAGTATTTCTTATATTCAAGGCCAGAGGTACTATTCGTTGAAAATTTACTGAGAACATTTTTTTTGGTTGTTCTTTTGCTATTTATGGTTTATTCCTTTAAACAAGGAGTTCCACTGGTTGTAGGGTAAAAGTGTCACACTGCCATGATAATGACAGTAAAACAGCATATTAAGGAAACATCAGCCATAACCTACCACACACTGTTCAGTGTACTTCATACACAGTAATTTGTTTAAACTTGACAGTGCCCCGAGAGCCACAAACTTACCATTTTACTGTCTAGAAAACAGGCCCACGGAGAAGTAAGTGACCAGTAAATGACCAAAGTGGGGTTTGATCTCAAGGCAGTTTGAAGGGACATGCTCTTAACTGTATTACAACCTGTGGCTTCCTTGGAAAAAGTGGGCCCCTTACTCCTTGGAGGGGGAGTGAGTGAGTGAAAGTCGCTCAGTCGCGTCCGACTCTGACCCTATGAGCTATACAGTCCATGGAATTCTCCAGGGCAGAATACTGGAGTGGGTAGCCTTTCCCTTCTCCATGGGGTCTTCCAACCCAGGGACTGAACCCAGGTCTCGCATTGCAGGCAGATTCTTGATGTCTGAGCCTCCAGGGAAGCCGCTAGGAGGGGGAGGAGAAGGTCAAAAGAAAGTCATGGCCATCATTAAGGACGGGCTGTGATGCAGCTCAGAAGGCAGTCTTCCTGGCAGAACGTCTCTTATCATCAGCTGAATATAGTTTAATTGCAGTCGTTAGGAATGAGTAAATAGACTAAATTCTAGCTTTCTAATAGAAATCTGGACTCATTGCTAAAGGGGTTAAGTATTTGACAATTTAGTGATTAAAAGGACGCCTTGGCCATCTAATCAATGGGTTGCAGATACTCTGCAGACTGGAAGATAGGGAGAGATTATGTGAAACCATGAAACTTACTTCCTCAAGTTTAGCAAGAAATATTTGTGGGAGGAAAATAGTCGTCTGTCTAATGTCGTTTTAGAGCCGAACTTTCCTGGGTTGAGATGCTTTTAGGGAGAGCGTACTTCTTAAAAGCTAACGTTTTCAAATAAGATGACGCTTTCCTGAAAGAGTTCAAGGACAAAAAGGATTGTGTTATTAAACTACCCACTGACAGCAGTTTCTGTAAAGACATATTCATGGGGAGAAGAAAAGGTCATAATTAACATATTAATACTTCAAAGAAATAGCAGCTTGAATACCCAGGTTTATACATGGACCACCAAAAGAGTCTATACAAAAATAAATCAGGGAAGGCAGAGATGCTGAGGCTGAAGAGGCAGACATTTCCTATATGTATGCTACAACCTGCAGTTCCAATTTCCAAATGCTTTTTTCAAGCGAACAGATTTTGCACAACTTTTTTACCTAATATGATGTGGAAATGTGGTCCCTGCATGCAAAGGGATTTAATTCAACCCTAGTTCATTACTGTTGAGTTAACAATAGGATTCTGCTCCACTGAGGCAGCCAGTTTGGCTTGATATTAATGAGACCACCCTGCCAAAGAGGTTCTGTTTTCTAGATGACTTTCAGCATTGCCAGTGACAGTACACAGGTGGTAGTAGACCTTTGGTCAAATCTTTACAAGGAAAATGAAATAGCATGAACCACAGTCAAGTTCAAAGTGGCAGCTGGACTCCACCAGAAAGCATTCTCCAGCAGGAGTGTCAGCAGCCACTGAATTGCAGGGGAGAAGCTTCATCTCCAGCCTTTGCAGCAAACGAGTTTCTGTGAATCTGACTGACTAGGTAGACATGTCATTTTTAAGTAACCTGAATAGTAATATTTTCATGCCAATTATGGTCATTCATAGTATAAAAATACACCCGGCAGAGGACTGGAGACAGGCCACCTGAACTGTTAGATGAGTTCTGTAACTTACACCTGATTTGGGAAGCGCATGAGCCTCGTGACCAGCCAGTTCTAGAGGCTGGGGGAGGCCAGACTCCCAGCCTTTCTTTCCGGTGTTTCAAAATACCTGTTTGGAGAGGCTGATTTTCTTGCAAAGAAGTTGTCTTGCTACCTATAGCACACAGTTCCCTTTCGGAGAGATGTTCTTGGCCATGAGTATTTTCTTCTTCTTGCGGGTTAAGCATTCCATCTGATGCTG